CTCCAAGATGTATCAACTGGTATAATAAAAGACATTATCTCTCCCTATACACATATAATTCATACCTTTAAGCAACCACAGCTGTAACATCACAAAGAAGCAGTTGTCCGCTAAGGATCATTGGGTTGTTTTAGGACAGTAATAAGAGGCCTGAACAAACTATAAAACCCAATCCCAATAATAAATAGTTCCTGAAAATCTAATCAATTAATGACAACAGAGATTTTAGAGCCTTTCTTATTTTACAAAACAGTGTAGGACAAAAGAGAAAACTATAATGAGAGCTCCATGCACTCATAATAATGTCCAGCTATATTATCTGTCTTACTTTGGCATCCTGTTTAAATTTCTGAAGAACAGGCCACCCTTTTTCCTGACCCACACATATACGTAACAAAATAACCCCCAAAAATCTTGAGTCAGAATTCTAGCCTCAGTCCAACTGCAACTGAAATAACAGAGAGAATGCCTCTGAAGTAAATAACATTTGGTTCTTTGATTTTAACCTCAATCTGGATTGATTTATTAACTGTAAGTAATGATCAAATCCTAGCTGCCAAATATCCATTCTTCTCCTCTATCCTTCTTGGTATGTTTTGTCAGTACCTTTGTGACGAAGAATTCCAAATGTGTTTATCAACACTTAGGGAACAAAATTTGGCACTATTAGGAAACCCCTTCTGTTGGAAATTCTTTTTTTAATCCCAGTGAAAATACCATTTCTGAACATGATTCATCAGACAGCAGAGTTGTTCAGGGTACATACATATACAGAATATATAACACGGCCTAGATATGCATTACTTATTGGTATAATACGGTTGCTATTAGTTAAAGTCATTGAAGTCCTCACAGATATTTTTAAGCCTTTTATCACTTTGTTGTATTAATGCTTATCTCTTCTCAAATTTCTCAAAAGTAAATTTTCCAGGACAGAGTTCACCTTTTTCTAGTGTGGCTACAGTATCTGGAACAGTGAGCGTCAACTACTTGAGTAGGATTTCTGGCTATGGCCCCCAGGAGAAATAATCATTCTTTTCACCTGTAAAATCCTCCAATATTGGTATACTAGCACATGTTTATAATTTATCACATATATACACATATGTTTTTTTCCCCAAATCTCAAATGAATCACTGTTGCTACTAGCACCTTTAAAGATATTCTAGCTCAGAAGTAAGCATGCACCTGAAACACTGTCTCTTTAAAATACTTGAAATGCAATTTGGAGATGACCTTTGTTCATCCAATTTCCTGTTCCACAGAGAAGAAATTCAGCAAAATTGTAGACGGTGTTGTAAGGGCCATGGCTGAAGGTAATAGGAAACAAACCCTGCCCAATAAAGAGCATTATCCAGAAATAGACAGCAGCCTGTGACACGTATATAATTAGAGAAATTGGAGGCTTTTCCCATGAGACCATGCATTCCACAGCAAATCCTATTTCCTTCATTTTCCCTTTCATGGTTATTGTAAGTGTAATCATTGCATGATTATAGTCCTTACATACAACATATCAGTTTCTTTTTGTTTTTTCCAATATTGGTGTTAATTGAATTCACTGAACAAATGAGAAAAAAAATCCACAGCTCATATCTTATCAGGCCAACTGACTTGCAAGTCAGACCCATATAAGGAGACCAAAAAATCTAATTTTGCATCTCTCAGATATCTTATATGATGCCTCTTTCTTCCATAAATATAACCCATTAGCTATTTCTTTTGATTTTTTTTTTCCTTGCTAAAAAAGTATAAGGTAAAACTGATGACATAAAATGTCTGATGTAGAAGGCCAAGTCATAAGGAGGAAGAAGTTAATTTACCAACTTCCAAGTAAAAAAAAAAAGGCTACTGGTTCTACTGTAACATCAGGAACTGAATATAAAAAACCCCAAATTTATCATAAAATTCTAAAAATAATTCTGAACAGATTAGGGCTCTCATTGCTATGCTACAGAACTTAGCTCTATTACCTGCCCTTGTTCCTGAAGCACAACAGTAACTCAAGACATATGTAACAGGAGGAAGGAAGCAATCATTCTGAAAAAGACTTATGTATGATACTGAACAAGAAATTAGGCATGAGTTTCCATAGTGATATAGCAACAAAAGGCTGCTGCAATTTTCAGCTGTCTATACTGAGAGAGTAACAGAGCAAAGGGACTCTAGTCCCTTCTCTGTAAGTTGCAATGTTAGCGTACTCAGAATCGTCCATTATATTTTAGTTCTGCACTATAAAGAAAATATTGAAGGAACTGGAAGAGGAATAATAATAATAAAAACAAGAAGTTCTGCAAGAACTAAAACTACTAAGTGCTATGGATTTAGATTTCATGGTTGGATTCTCTGGTATCTTAAATATGCAAATTCCAATGAGTACTTTCTCCTATGCATCTCCTCTGTGGATTCTCTGATGTTTAATAAGAAATGATCTCATACTAAGCCTCTCTGCCAGTGGGAACACAGATAGGTCTCTTGCCCGTCTGGCAGCCTGCTTTCCCGAAACTTACAGGAATTCCTGTCCAATGGCGTTGAAACTGGCCAAGAGTTAAGAAGCTACTGAGGGAGAAAGGAGAGGAGAAAGATCAGCAGCCACACAAAATCCTGGGCTAGCAAGTAGACAGTATGATCATATAAGCTTTGTTTCCCCGGGAAATTAGGCTAATTATCAAAGGGCTGGAAAGATTCACTTATGATGAAAGTCCAAAAGCCCCAAAGTGGAAAAATACTTAAATACTTAAAGGTGAAGCGCTCTATTGGATATAGGACTGAAAGAACCAAACATGATAGCTAGGTTGAGACACAAATGATGAGGAATGTTATAATTTACAGAAATATAAATGTTAGCCAAGGATGATGAGGATTTATTTGTACCAAGAGGAGCTATTACTAAGCAGAACTGCAACTGGGAATAGCGGGATTAAATAAAGGAAAGCTTTAGGCTAAAAATCAAGCAACACTGTGAGATGAGTCTATGGAACAGTTTTCAGACACAAAGTGGAAGCTCCATGTCTTAAGAAAATTAAAACTGGAATGTAAAAAAACCTGATCTCTACAGAACAATAATGTAGAGTGGACAGTGAGATTGGCAGGAATGTCTAATAGGTCTTTCTTTCCATTTAGGACTAGATTAATAACACAAAATACTGCACTAAAAATACTGTAAAAACTGCACTACTATCCAGTAGTAGAACTGAAACCTAAATCAGGAATACAGTCAGTAAAATTATGCATTCCTAGTATTCATAATATTGAAATGAATTTCTTTGTGAGTAAAGGCTTTAGAGCAAAATGTTAAGCAAAACTGGAAATATTCTTATAATGAGAAGCAAATCTTCAAAATATTTTCGAATCTAAATAAATAAAATAGTTTAAGAATTTGAAGTTGAAGGAAGAGGAACAATGAGAAGGAAATGTAATATAGACAATATATAAGATTAATAAAAGCAGCTACTCCTTTTGAGTCCTCATCTAAATGGCTGAAGCCAGACCTAGGATATATAAATGCCTTCCTCCCACATCATCTACATGATACATCAAAAAAAACAAAGCCAACATTATACAGGTAATTATTTATACAGAGTTATTAAAATTTCTAGTTTTACACATAAAGTGATCAAAGTTACTTGTGTATTAGTGCAACATTTTTAAGCCATACCGAATGGTACAAGTTTCCTTGTTATTATTTTCTAGTAAAACATAAAAGAAAATAATCAAAATGCACAAACCAGATTACACAGTATGTTTGATGTAGCAATTTCTAACATTCATTTAATATAGCTGAGCTGCAATGACTAATACTGCCCATGTCCACTAGTACAAAGACCTAAAAAAGGTTCCAGACTAGATTACGTTCATGCAGGTCTCATTTTAACGGAAATTGGAGAGATGAAAAAAAGATTATAGGAACACACATTATAAAAACAGACCTCACAAGTCAAACTTAATAGTGAAACCATTCTCTTTCATGTAGACAACCATGAAAACAAATATCCTGTAAGCACTAGATATATATTGTATCTTTCTACCAGATCTCTATGCCTCCTTGAGACAGATTCCCATTCATCTCATGACTATATAATTTGATCATAGTTGAGTAAGGCACAGCAGGGGAAAGGGTCTGTCTGATAAAGTATCAGGCTCCAGGAAGATAGATAAACAATTTCATGATTTCTAGTTGTAACAGGAATGGTACAGTGGTGGATATTAAGATATTAGTCTCGTAGGAATACAAATATCAAGCTTCTGCAGTTTTTTCTCTTACTAAATGTTTTCTTTCCATTAAGTGAAAATGACAGTCTGACTATGATAAACTAAGACAGAATGCCAGAATAAAATGCAAGGTATGTGTGAAAAGTCGAATTAAATCTTTTTTGATTTGTCAATGTGAAAGTTAGCACATAACTTTTTTTTTGGCTTAGTTTAAGACAAGTGAAAAAATAGAGCAAGGGAGCTGCTTTCTCATGGGGTATTTTTACTGCAAAGAAACATTATTTAAAAGTAGGTGAAACAGTTGCCTACCAACTTGTTTCACATTTAAACCTCCTCTTTCACAAGGGACACATTGTCAGGCAACTCCTCCTCTACTACACGTCACTAGAGTAATGCTTGTTTACAACACTACCTCATTGTTCTACATGTATTAAATGAAGGCTTGAGTGATAATATTTCAACAGCTGTGATGGACTTCTTTTTCATATATTAACACATATATTTGGGTTGTATATATTAACACAGATGTATAGTATCCATTACTACTAATACAACTCCTGTTAGGTGGCAAATGTTATATTATCTTTGTAATTACTTCCTGTCCTGGATAGCTGAAAAACACGGTGATATCCAGTCATGCTGCTCTTACAAAAATTCAAAGAACAAAAATATATTTTACAGCCAATTTTTAGTTACAAACCCTGGATGTCATATTTTTCTTTAAGAAAATACATTCTGGAGTAAACAATTTTTAAAGTTACCGTACTATCTATCTTAGTATCACTTACCTGTGATTCTTTTACATTTTCAACAGTGAAGTTGAACCAAACTCGAAAGCGTGGGTTACAGGTATCTGGTCTAATGAACAGGTCATACTCAAACTCTGTGATGTGGTCCACCCGTCCAAGGTTACCTACCAAGAACATATGAAAAAGAATGCATTTTAATGAATGGTTGATAAACTCTTCAGGAACTACACTGAGAAAAATTTTTAAAACTTCTACCTCTGTTGGTTTAAAATATGTAAGTATAATAAGCCTTACAACAGTTCAGAACTATTTTTAAAAGACTTAATCATCATCACAAAACAAAATACAACACCAGTAAGTTACATGCATATGAATACACCAAAAAGAAGACAGAATGGATTTTTATTATTCAATCAAATTGACTTTTTGTCTTCTCTTATCTGAGTATTCCAGTTAAGTGTCCCAACATCCTTTTAATTGTTTCCTTTTTTTTTTTTTCCTTCACTTTTCTCATAATGTCTCTGCACCTTTTTTGGCCCCCACCTGTATGGATTTCTTTCTTTCCATTTGCTGCTCCCATTCAAGCTCCTGTAAGATTAAGGAGTCCCCAGTTCTCCACCTGACCCCTCTGACGGGTGCTCTGAGCATCCCTCTCTCCCCACAGATGGGCCAGCCTGCATCTCCTTTGTGATTCAAAAGCCATCTTAACACTTTTTTCTTTACCATTTGCAGCCACTAACACCTCCTTTCAAAGACACAAACGAGGCTGTAAGATTTTGCCTCAGCTTTTTCCTGGTGAATTTCATGGAATAACATTTTTAAATATAGTCAGAGCTACATTGTCCCCTATGGCATTATTCAGCAAGCAACCACACTGGATATAGAAATGAAGTTCAGCACTGGGAAAACTCGCTAAGTGCTTTTAAATTGCTAAATTGGCATCTTTCCTTTGAAGTGTGCCAAGATTTTTAAAGACGGGGTTTAGACTGTCCATTTCATTTATACACTACAAAAGTAAAACTTCACATTTTCCTGATCCAATCCAAAACCCATCTCACCAGGTCTTGTAAGACAAGGCCATGCTTTAGCTCAAATGCTAAATTATGCTTATTTTAAAAAAAAAGCACCATAAGATGACCTGGTTACAGTTTATGGTTTCAGACATATTTGGGGGGTAAGATATATATTTTGGGGTTGGACATATACTGTTGGGTTCAAATACTTATTTGTAACACTATCTGAGCTAAACAATTCCCTCAGCAAGTCCCATTTCAGTAAGCACAAGTAGCAGAATTTGGCTGATCTGCTGTTCTGGGGTGGAAAAGAAGTAGGAAAAGACATTTTCAACTCTGTTCACCAATATATTTGCAGGATTTCTTCCTTCTCCGAAATTGTTTCTAGCTTTACTAATTGAACATTTTTAATCTTCCCTATTTTTAATGTTATCCTCTACTTTCCTACCCACATTCTTCTTTTCAGAAGAAAATTCTCTTCACTGATTCCCTCTGCAGAAAACTGCTTTATGCTAACAATCTGTTCCTAAACACTTGCCCAAAGGATACATTTGGCATATGAAATATTTGAAAAAAACCCAGCAATATTGTACAGCTAGAATACCTTTGCCAAATATAAATAATGTCATCTGCTGTATCGGGTGTCCGTGCCCAGGTGCCGGCGGCGGGGGCTGCAGGGCTGGGCTCTCTGAGGAGAGGCCGGGCGGCCCCGGGCGGGTCACGGCCAGATCCGGCCGGCCCCGCCACGGCCCCGCCACGGGGCACGGCTGAGCCCCTCCGCGCACGGGGTGGCACTTCGGCGGAA